GGCTGAGCCACCCAGGCGCCCCCCCATTTAGTTTTTATAGTAATAGCAATTCTCACTTTTATGTTTCAATGATTTCTGCAATACTTAATTGTCACATACCAGTTTCAGAGCAGAGACATTGACTCTTGGTAAGTATCGAGTTTTGGTTGATCTGGTGTGAGCAGAAACATGCCAAGCACTGAAGAAGAACACAGTAGCTGCACACATCTAGCACCCCAGGCAATGAGCCGTTACCAAGGGGACGGAAAGTGGTAATCTGTCGACTGTGTGTGAATGTGCACCCTCTGTGGGTCTCACACATTTAGAGGACTCACTTGACTCTAGAACTTTGATAAGAAAAAGCAAGGAAGAGGCAGAAGAACAAGAAGTAAAGGGCTGCCTGTTAACCTTTTAAATTTATTCTGTCTGGGTTTAAAAATTTCTGCCCATTACAAACCTACACCTGCTGAATGAAAAAGTAGGTATTCTTCACTTATTGTACTTTTGTAAAAGTAAATGAAGAGTATTCTTTTTCTTATGAATTAACTAAAAATGCAAAATCATGACTAAATTGCAAGCTGATGGTTATCAAGGGTATTGGAAGCATTTTAGACATTAACATTATATTTATTACCTATCTTCATTTATTATTTACAGAGTGTGCTGAGATGGTTTTGTTGTTAGACTAGATAATGCCATGGAAAACCCTGGAAGAAGTGCTGGAGGTACTAAATCATTCATAGTGTGAATTTCATTGTAATAAGGTCAACAATAAGTTTGGAAATGTTTTTGTTCTGGTGAAAGAGTATTGTTGCAGAGAGATTTACCCAGTGTAGATGGTTATGTATTCAGGTCTTTCATGTTCCAGGTTCCCTAACATAAACACTCCCTGTGGAAGCCCATCCGTCATCTGTTACTTCATTCACCTGTCAGAGGACAGCATCCCTTGAGTTCAAAACAGGATACTCCCCAGGTTTTCTCCTTCTCCCACTTTTACTTCTGAAATATCTTCGTGCCCCAGATGTTGCTGTAAATCAGATGGACAGAGTTTCAAATAGAACTTCCAGCCCTTAGGGTTGCTCTTGCTTTGCATGTGCTGGAGAATTTGTGCATATGTCTTTACAACATGTTTGTTGGAAGGTCTTCTGTGTGGAGGAGTCCCTGAGGGAGTCAGCGTCTTCTGACCCGGGTAGGGGGGCCTGATCTCTGTGACATTTCAGAAGGGTGGTCTTTGGTTTGCCGGCACAGGAACCTACTGTATAGATCTTGTCATGCGTTTATAATAGGAAAAGGATGATCTCTGTTTAGTTTAGAAACAAATATCTCTACTTCACAAGTGTTTCTTCTAAGATTTACCTGGCAGTGGTGAAGGGCCTCTATCTAGCC